CGGCGGCGAGACGCGCCCTCCTGCTTCATGGCCGCGGCTGCCGGGGCCGCGCCGGGGCCGTGACAGTGCAACAATCGCGGGAGGAGGCGGCCCCGTGCGCCGCGGGGGCCGTTGGGACGGGCGCAGGCGCGGTCAGTTGATTTCCGAGTCGGGGGCGGCCGCCAGGCTGGCGAGTCGAGCTCGGAGCGGGCCACACGGCACCGCCCCCAGTGGCGGGAGGGGATAGCTGAGCTCGGCCTGCAACTCTGCCCCCGCCTCTGCTTCGGCATGCGCTCGGGCGTTTCCGTCAGCGCCCGAGCATGATCCTCAGCGCTCGGGCATTTCCGTCCCTACTCGGGTCATTCCGTTCCCGATCAGGCATTATCCGTCAGCGCTCGGGCATATTCGTCCACTATCGGGAACTTCCGCTTTCCCTCGACGGCCTTTCTATTCCCCTGCCCTCGCCCGCGGGCCTTTGAGCGGCAGGGCGCATGCGCAACCCGTCCTTCCCCCCCCCTGCGTGGGGGGCGGCCTGCTGCTGAAGGCGCCATTGTAACACGGACACGCCCCCGTGTTCAGCCTGATCCCTGCTGCCAGCGACCTCTTCTGCTGGAGCAAGCTGCCCTGAGCCAGGGCCCGGCTGTGCAGGCTCTGAGGGCGCCCCCCGCCGTGCCGAGCTAGCCCTCTGCCAGACCGGCAGGGGGCTGTGGACCCAGGCAGCTCCCGGGCTTTTTTCTTCTCACTCTTCAGCACGCGTCTCTGGGTCGGGTCTCACTGGGTGTCGCAGCCTTCACGCTGGTGTGCTGTGGTGGGAGACAGCCTCCAGGGCACCCTCATTGTGAATCTTTGCTCTGCGCTCTCATCCCTGCCCAAAAATTGTTGGTTCGCCCCTAGTAACCCCTCTAACCACCGGGGGTAACTGTCCATGCGGGCCCGGGCCCAGGCCCATGGTCTCCTGTTTACCTAATAGGGCCCGGATGTGTTCAAGGGGTAGTGGTCACTGGCTGGTGCACTCTGCTCGGGGTCCCGGGTTTAAGCACTTGTTACAAATCTCTGCCCCATGGTCCGATTCCTGTTGTCTCATTCATTGTCCCTCCACAACCTCCTGTGCTTCTTGTGGCCTCCCCTGTTAAGTGAGACTTCTCATGCTCTTCTGGGCCCAGGCCCAGCACCTTTCACAAGAGTAGGCCTGCATCTGTCTGCGTGGGAGTCTCTTTCTTCTCCCAGCCTGATACAATGCTGAGCCGGGGAGCCGCTGAGGGTGAACTCCCCAATCCCAGAGTGCTGCTGACAGAACATTACACTGCCCTTTGGATGCTGGCCTGCTTGAGCTTACTGAGTTCCCCTTTCTGCCGACGTGTTTCAACTGTGGTCTGAAAGAGTACTTCAAATCTAGTGTGGCCTAGGCTCAGAAACCTACACCAGTATAACCATGTGGGTTAGAAGTGTGGATTTTTTTCCTTTAATCTGCTGGCAGTGGTGTAAACTCTGGCGTGAGCTCTAAGATTAAGGTGTCCTGCACTAGTAAAGTTTAGTTTGCTTCCCAAACTGCATTAAGTGAGATCCACGTTACATTGTTATTGTACAACTAGCAAATTGCCTGTCAAGAATGACAGATGAATTTCAAATAACAAAAACAAACAGATTTTCCTTTTTATATTTATTAAGTTAAATATTTATAAAAAATAAAATAGGCGGAATATTTAAAGACACCAATCCCTTCCTGCACTTGCTCTCATCCAGCAGGTTGAAGGCAGACCTGCCCACACTGCTGCCCAGCCGCCTGTGCGCCTCTTGGCTGGGCAACAGCAGGTAAGCTCCATGCCTTGCAACAGCCACCCATGCCTTGGGGCTTCCTCTGTGCCATCCCTGGGTGCCTCCTTCCCTACTTGGGGCTCAGGATGGGGCCGCTGCTGCTTGCCCACTGCCTCACGCCTCTGCCCGGCTCCCGCCTTTCCTCAGCTGGCCCCTCCCTCTGCCATCCCTGCCTCACGGGTCCCTCAGCGCCCTTCTGAGAGGAGCTCAGTAGAAACAGTTCTGGGTCCTGAGGTTTTTCCCAGTTCTGGAAGTTGGGATCATCCTGACATGGTCACTAAACAAATGCTAATGTTTAGCAAAGAAATTTCTCTGAAGACAAAAATGTTCTCTTACAGTTTTCAAGCTATTTGCATTTAAAGAGCATTACAAACAGACAGGCACACAGACAGATGGACTAAGCCCTTATATACATAGAACGCTGCAGATAATGTAGCCCCTGCAAAACACGACAGTCCTACACCCAAGTACAACTAAAAATTATAAAGCAGACTGGTTCCAGGTACCACTTAAAAATCTGCAGCAGCTATGCTGGGTATGGCTTTTTTCCTTATGCAGAATGATGTAATTGTATTACTTTGCAAACCATAAAAATTAAAAAGTTCCTAGAAATGGAATTTTGGGTGCATCCATCTTGAGGTGAGTAGGCAATGACCAAAAGTCTGATGTTACAGCAAATTATTTACATCATAAATATCATGGTATAAATAATATAGATGTGTTTGTGCTTGTGTATGTACACACACACAAATAAAAAAATGTAATATAAAAATTATATTATGGAAAATCATATTGTACCAGGGTATAAATTTTTTTTTTTGAAAAAACTATTAATAAATGTATTGGGGTGGGAATTTATTGGATGTGACCTGGCTGACCCAGACTAATCTGTGTCTTTATATACCAGTTGTACTACCTCCATTCTGGGGGGTGGTAAGGTTTGTAGAATTATAGATTGATAGCTCCCTCCAGCAAAGATCTGAAACCCTTTTCAGATTGCCCATATCCCTAGGAAGTGAGGGAGGAGTGTAACATGTAACTATGTAGATGTTACTGAATTTTAGGCACCTTGCAGCATTGCGTTAAGGAAAATGTTAATTGCCCAGATTATCAATGAAAAGACATTTGTGTTTAAAAACACATGCAAAGATTCTACTTAAAAGAACTATTTTATTTTTATTGCAGCAGTGATGGAAGACCAGGTGGACCGTTCCAGAAGGTTCCTGGCTGAGATACAGGACCT